ATGTCTTAACACAATAAAGAATGACATAAAGGCTATGTTAACCAGTTTGATGAAAATATTTCAAATTGTATATGAAAACACCACACTGTACCCCATGATTGCATTAATGTACACAGCTATCATTTAATAATAAAAAAAAACTGGTGAGTTCCAAATGCACATTGATAAATAAATGGTAATTTGACCTTCTCGTCCTACAGCTAGAGCACCAGTCCTTCAGACTTGCCGAGGGCTTTGGAGCATCAAAAGCCCTTTTATTTCAACTGTCTAAAGTGATTCTCTGAATTCATTATCCCTGCTCAGCATATATTCACTTGGCAAGCGCACTCAGCCTTGTACTGGGTGCTGGGCACACAAAGGAAGCAAAGAAGACATGGTTTCTGCTCTGGGGATTTTTTTTTTTTAATTAGGGACAAAGTCTTGCTATGTTGCTCTGGCTGGTGTCAAACTTCTGGGCTTATGAAACACTTCCATCTTAGCCTCCCAAATAGCTGAGACTGTATCTATGTGCTACCGCACTGGACTCTTTTCCCAGTAGCTCAACCCATAGGAAGGATTCCTAAGCTCACTTTGACATGAGTTTAAGTGACTTGCCTGTGGTCACAGAGTTGTAAGTCATGGCACCTGATGGCTGCTCTGTGACCTCTCCCACCTGGATGCCACATTGTATAGGTTAAGCCCAATAGACAGTAAAGATGAAAGCAATCCCTTCTATATTTCTACATTTCAGTTCTTTTCTTTTTTAAACCTCCTTAAAAATATTTCATCTATTCTTATGTAAGAATAATAATCCTAGACTCAATTTATGATAATCCTAGACTCAAAAGAACACCTGCTTTACTTGGGATAGAGTTGATGGGTAGAGAAGGGCACGTGGGGACAGCGCCAGGCCATGTTGCCAGGTGCTGACACTGAAGCCTTGGAGGGTCAGGCCTGTGTGTGAACGAAGAATCGTCATGGTCCCAAGTGAAGTAAGCCCAGCTTTCCCTCTAGCCAACCATCTCAGGGCCCCTGAAGCGTGTTCCTCAGTGGCCAGCTGTAGGGCCTTGCTCCGTAATGGGGCTCAGCTGCTCCACAGCCCCTGCTATCCTTTGCCAGCTTGAAGGTCCCTATGTCATCAAAATGGGGGATCTGAGAGCCCCAAGTGAGAGTTAAGTGAGGCCTGGGAGCTGTCCTGATATCTGCAGCCAAACCCACTGAGGAGGCAGCCCCAGTACCACCTAGTGTGACTACAGGGCCTTTTGTCCAGAACTGCCTAAATAAGTCAAGGAATGAAGAACAGATCCTTGTAGGTCTCAGATCTGGAGTACGGGCAAGGAGGGGGTGAGCCATGCACAGGTGAGCAGGTGATGGAGAGGCAGAGAAAGGGATACTGAATGAGCATGGGGCATGAGAAGCAGCTGTGGCACAGCTCTGCCACTCAGCACCTCAGCTTCCCCTGTGTTGGGCTGACAATGGATTAGAAAGGCCCAGCCCCTCAAGAGCGGTGTGATCTGGGTTCAATTCTCACCCATCCATGTGACTATAAGTAACTCTGGACCTTTATTTTACATTTTATTACTTTAAAAATTAATTAACTGTACTGCTGCCTAGAATCTTTGCTTAATAAAGAAGAATTTAAAAATAAATAAAATAGAATAAAATAGAATTTTCTATGACTAGCATTACGGCTATCTATGTGGCCTCATGCTAATTTACTTCTTGGGTCTTAATTTCCTCATTTATGAAAAAGATATTAACATATTTACCTTAGATTCCATATATGAGAATTAATATGCTTATTCATTCAGTTTGTAAATATGTGTAAGATGCTTCATTTGTTCATTTCATAAATATTTATGAAATGCTTACTATATGCCAGGGATGTTTCCAGGCACTAATGATTCAAAAATGAACAAAACAGACAAAAATCTCTAAAATTCTTGATTTATAAAGTTCATCTTGTCTACTTCCACTTACTACAATAAACACAGAAGAAGTTAATTTTCTGGGTGGTGCCTGCGGCTCAGTGAGTAGGGCACCAGCCCCATATGCCAGAGGTGATGGGTTCAAACCCAGCCCC